TTTTTTTTTTTTTTTTGGGGGGGGGGGGGGGGGGGGGAGAGAGAGAGAGAGAGGCAACTTGAATTGCACAGCAAAAACAGGCAAATGTAGCAGAGATGAACAAAGAAATATCAATTGGTCCCTTTTCTTCTGTCTTAGCTCTGTTCTTGTACTTCCGGTGGTCAAAAAACCAAAAGAGAACATTGATCCGAAGTATTTCCATATCGCTTCGCCAAATCCGACAGCATACCATTGTTGTAAAGCAACTACGACAGATTAAATATTTGGACTGGCCAATTTCGTTTTCGACCATCAGGCCCGATCCCTGTAATCTCCAAGGATATGTCAATGCTACGATACTTGGGAGCACGGGCAATACTAATCCGGGAATGTAGTTTCACGGCAGGACAGGCATCAGTACCAACAGCTACCAACCTGTCAGCATTGAGATTGGCTTCTCCTGATGCCATTGCAATTGGTTCTCGAAAAGTGAGGATAGTCTGACACCAATGTGTATTGGGAGTGAATGGGGATGTGGACAGAACAGTTGGCACTTCTTTGCAAAACCTAGAAGTAAACCCAGTCTCGAACCACAAGACTACTCCATAACACCAAGTCGAATTAGGTTTCAAATCAGTACTGTAGTTCACAGAAGAATCTTGCTTTGGTTCCAGCTCAATGTGTGCTGTGAAGTCCACATCTTCAGATTTCATTGTCACCAGATCAAACGTCTGATGCAAAAAAACAAGGGTAGACATTACAACACAACTAACACTCAAATCACAAAAGCAAAAATATTTATCAATAAAATAGATAAAACAATGAATTCTGGAGGGAAGGTAGTCAGACTATTCTCCAGAAGCACAAATTGTTTTGCGCTCGTCTATCACTTCTGACTCAGTGTTTCATGAGAAGAAAAATTACGAGAAGCATTGTCCAAAAAAAATTTGCTAGTACAGGTAGTAAAGCAATAACTACAAAATTTAGTACAACACGTGAAGAATGGACCAGTCATAATTAACTAGTTTCCTAGATCCAAACTCTTTAAAGAGAAGAATTAAGTGATATATGTAAATTCATCTTTGTTAACTGTACCATATGTCTTCAAGGACCTCTTTTCTCAAAACTCAATAAGATGTCAGGAGTTTTAGTCTAGCCAGAGGTATGCTACTATGGTGGTGAAAACAAGGCACAGTCCTTACTGAGTTAGAGGAGCAAATTTGATCCATACATGCCAGTTAGCAGATAAGATACAGAGCTGTACATAATAAAATGCAAAACAAATAACTCTCATTTTTCTTTGATTGGTGCAAACAGGATGAGTTTTTCATAGTACCCAACCCAACCATGCAACAAGAAAATTTATAAGAAACTAAAGTCAAACACTATGCCAACAATATTAAAACATATATAATAAGGTTGTTCCAATCACATCTTGAGAAGCATTGCAAACACCTAACAGAGTACATTTCAAGAATACCTTTTACAGAGAATTAAGGAAAGGAAAAATTCAAGTGCCCTTTTATGGTTGGCCCTCTTCCTTTTTTTTTTTTTTTTTTTTTTTTGTTTTTGTTTTTCTGAGGGAAATGGTTGGCTGTCTTCAATGGAACTATCATGCCTTAAAAGCCCCCAGTCTTTTAATATTATAATGAGCAAGAGAATGAAGCAATTACAGTAACTGTCAGATACAAATCTCTATAAGAATGGAGGATGATAAATTACTAACCTGAAGAACCGCGGGATTGGTCACTATATCATGACTTTCAACAATATCAACAATAGGAACCCGGGCAGCATCTTCAACAACTTCCTTGCCAATGCAAGACATGTTGAAGCCATATACGTTTTCCCAGAATGGAATACTGGTAGCACCTCTTCCAAATCCAGCGACAAACTGAACAAAAAATTACGTGAAGATAACTTGTTAACTCCAACTATATACCCAAGCAAGAGTTGAACAAAAGAAAGAACAAGCACTGCAAAATTCACCATAGTAGCTGTGTCTGGGAGAATGGCACCTCCAGGCTTCAACCATTGATCCCGTGCAAATAGTACCGAGCTTAGCATTGACTCGTAGAGTAGGCAATAACCCATCCATTCACTCACTAACACATCAACACTGCGGGGTTGAATGTGTTTGGAATCATTGAGTTCTTCAACCATCCCCTGTACCACTTCTATTTCTCCCGTACACCGACTGGTACCTTCCATTGGGTTTCCACCACACAAAAGGCCATTATCTTTCGCAATCTGCACTTATCCAAACATGGAAGTTAAGAACAAAGTTCAAAATTGGGTGACAAAACCAATAAGTAAACAAAATGAAGAGTTGATTAAATGACACCAGTGCCCGGAAGGTTTACCTGAGCTGCCACCACAGCCATCTTCTCACTGGCATCAATTGCAATCACCCTTGAGGCCCCAGCTTGAGCCGCAAAAAGACTATTAAACCAACAGAATTAGAATTAGGTTTTACTCGCATCCTACAAAACTACTGACACTGAAACAAGACTGCCAATTTGGAAAATCAATGGAGACTGGTTACTCCAATTTCTGAATTGTCGGAAAACCTAAGAGCGGATGTGCAAATGAACGCGTGCAACTGTATTTAGTGAGTGAGTCAATTATTTCATTGAAAAACTAGATTATGGAGAGTGCTGATAGTAACAACCCATATGTCAAACTCTTTCAATCAACAAAATAAGCAACCTTGACTCAATTTAACATAAAGCAGTCTTCCTTTTCCCTTTCCAAAGGATGTCAGTTGCCATCATGAACACCTACACACTATGCAATGTGCAAGCAACTAGTACGGTAGCAGAGATCGGCTGCTTCAAATCACTTAATTCGTGATGGGGTACATTTAAAAGAGCTCCTACATTTTAAAATAACTTCTAAGTTCATCAACAATTCCTCAAAGTATGAATTGGTAAAAGTTTAAGTGCTACAGTACTTTGTCTAACTGCGTCATACAGACCAGAAAATGAGCCACGATTAATTAACTAATAGAATAGAAACATATCATGTCTGCTTTGAGCACATTCTCAACTGATCGCAAGAGGGAGGACACTTAAGCTATGAAAGATGGTAGGAATGAACCAAATTAAGCGGCCTGAACTCAATTGTACATAACCTAACCCAGGCGCACAAGAAGCCATTATCTTGACTGGCCGTCAGCCATGGACTAGAATAGAAAGCATGACATCTCTCTTGGGCTTGCATGCTTTCTTTTATTTTGAATTTTGGACAGTAAGGACAAACCAAGACGTCTAGGACTTATAAATATATGCCATATAGAATATATGGGTAAATTACATAGAGACTCCTAGCTTCTTCGTTCTTCCGTGCCACAATGAACAAACAAAAAAAGAGGGTCGTCTCAACAGAAGAAGAAGGACCTACAACGACAGAGACTATTGACGATCTTCTTGTTCCTAGTCGTCTATTACGAGTTCGAGAAGCCTCCAGAATATTCTCGATCCCTAGAAATAAGAAGGGCAGGCAGGACTTCCACAAAAGTCTTCTCCCTCTTCCCGNTAGTCGTCTATTACGAGTTCGAGAAGCCTCCAGAATATTCTCGATCCCTAGAAATAAAGAAGGGCGGGCAGGACTTCCACAAAAGTCTTCTCCCTCTTCCCAGTCAAGATAGATGGGAATGAGCCCTATCAAGAAAAGGCCACAACCAGTCTCTTTATTTATGTACGAACACCTTTGTTTGTTTCAGGATGAGGCTACCCTGGCCATTTCCGAACTTGTCTTTCTCACTCTATCAATTTTAAGGATGACTTTTCAATTCTTGTGATTCTCAGCCCCCTTAGTTATTATTAGATATTATAAAAAACTCTCCTTTTAATAACGAATAAGGTAACGCTGTGAAACCCTTCCTTCAGCTCATCAAAATTTGAAGGGGCGCACTCGTTAGTTAGGTCTTCTATTCTATTGTGTGTCAAGTTCTTAAAACAGTACATGAAATCAAGTTTTTTAGACAAGCTTCTCATCCTAACCCTCTGTTCACTAAAGTTGAGCATNAACTCTCCTTTTAATAACGAATAAGGTAACGCTGTGAAACCCTTCCTTCAGCTCATCAAAATTTGAAGGGGCGCACTCGTTAGTTAGGTCTTCTATTCTATTGTGTGTCAAGTTCTTAAAACAGGACAAGAAATCAAGTTTTTTAATCAAGCTTCTCATCCTAACCCTTTGTTCACTAAAGTTGAGCAGGTAGCTGTTGCATTGACCCCTTCTAAATCAATGAGGCATGACCTTTATTGTACACATCATATGTGTGTGTGGGTAGCTACTCATAGGGTGCATGAAGGGGGGATTAAAGACTTTCGTCCTTTCCTGGCTTCCACGAGTGGGTATGGCAATTTCCTTCCTCTAGTTCAACAGTTGTAGGACATGCAAGTATACTATGATGATCCAGGGAAATGAGGTATGATCTCTTATAGCATGCGTGAGTGTTGTAGCTTGAAACTCCATTGCGACCAGAAAGGAACAAACGAATCCATGCTCAGTTAACTCCTTAACATCAATAGGGCACCACTTCAAGTTTTCATTTGCATCTCATCATAGGGAACCTGTGTTAGCAAACAGTCAAAAAGAGAAACAAAACTCGTTGTCATCGCACTTTTTCAACAAACAACCATTTTACCCTCTATGATAAAATACTTTTTATACCTCCAATATAACAAAACTAAGAACAAATCAATTTGTGCCATGTCATCATCTCATTGAAGAAACTAAACCCTACCACACAAGATCTTTCTGCTCCTCCATCTTGTTCCATTTCTCTAAACCCAATCACCATTCCAAGTCCCCCATCTCTAGTCTATTCTTGAGAAATATAAAGCCCTTTAGAAACTCACTTTGCTACTAAAATCATATATAACTATAGATTTGTTATAGTTGTATCCTTATCTTAGACAAATCGACTGGCTCTGCGAGCCATGTTTGTGGAGATGATTGTAGTGTAGTCGCAAGTATATGATGGTTGCAGTGCAGTGGTGAAGTGCATTTGGCTTTTAAAAGTGGCAGTAGTATGGGTGTATCTGTCGGAGAGAGAAGAAGGACAAGAGAGATTCATATTTTGGCCCATTAGGTTATAAGATTGGATCAAACTTACAAGAGAATACAGAGAACTTGGTTGCTAGAGTGTGTTTACATACTAGATTTGCAAATTTCAATTAAGAGTAAAGAGAGGGTAATCTAATATTGTTATTGCCATTAAGGTAACAAATCTTGCAAGTTTGCAATGTTGATTCAAAAATAAGATGATGTAGATCGTATTAACTCTTATACTAAATTGATGTAGATCATAGTAAGAAATAATTAGGAATGAGAAGGGAAGAATGGGATGAAAAAAGAAGAAGAGGAGGGATGAGGATTGAGAGAGAATTTGTGGAAGAAGAATTCAATATCAATAATCAAAGTCTAATCGAAATAAAACCCTTACATGTATCCCTTTATATAGGAAAACCAAAACCAAAACCCTAAAACAAATAAATAATGACANAATCGAAATAAAACCCTTACATGTATCCCTTTATATAGGAAAACCAAAACCAAAACCAAAACCCTAAAACAAATAAATAATGACAATAAGCCCTCATAAGTTAAAAAAAATTACTTAAAAGATAAATATTAAAAGTATCTAAATAATTATCATAATTAATCTACTATATCTATTCAATTCCTACACGATCTCCATCATTCTCCTCCGGTTGAAAAAAAACTTTTCCCTAGAGAGTCTTCAAAGTAGAAGTACCCTAAGAGAACAGGATGAAAACTGTATAACGCCTCATCTAGAATGAAAGAACCATCAACAAGCTTTTGTGAAAAGCTTAAACATAGATGAACTTGATCAGAAATGGAGCTATAATAGCTCAACACTAGATGCGATCTTGTTCATTTGCAACCCTAATCCAATCAAATATATATAAATTGCATCAGAAGTATACTAGGAAGTTTATTCAACATCAAACTATATAGGCAAGATAAAAATATGACTTCTCACCTTAGTATGCCTGTCCCACAACCTACATCCAAAACAACACCACCATTTAGAAGAGAAGGATTTTCCAAAATAGCTTGCCTATAGGCATCTGTTCTTACCTGTGACACAAGAATGTGAGAGTTTCCAAATGTTATACAAAGAATAACAATAAATTTTCTAAACTTTTTATTGTTAATTTTTATTTTTTCTTATCCCTTTTATTGGACTTGTACTTTATGTTTTTATTTTTTTTATTTTTTTTTGGTAAATAAAAGAAATTTTATTGACTGGAATTAAGGCTCTTGCAATGAAAAGGGGAAAAAACAGTGAAAATGTTTTTATGCTTTGGGTTCTTATAAAACATTCACCATGAACTCACACGAGTAGGAGTTCACATAATACAAGAGTAGGTTTGATACCTTATCACTGATCATCTCCCTGTGGATGCCAAAGGAACTGTAGGCGCCAAAATAATTCTTATTCACCTTTTTTCTGTCATCTTCAACAATCTTTGAGAAAAAAACACTCGAGTGCTTATCTTCAAAGTTTCTATCAGATGAAACACCATCTTCTTTATCATCACTACCATTGATTATTGACTTTTCCAAAGAATTCACCTTATTCAAATAGCTATCAGGAGCAGAAGCAACCTCCTGTGTTCCATTCGCATAAGATATCGTACATTCAGGGGCATACGATTTTAAAGCACCCTCATCATCAATGAAAATCCGGTCAAAACTATTCAAATCCATTCTTAGTTCCTTTTTGTCAACTGATGATGTATCCTCATCTTCACCTTCANGTGTTCCATTCGCATAAGATATCGTACATTCAGGGGCATACGATTTTAAAGCACCCTCATCATCAATGAAAATCCGATCAAAACTATTCAAATCCATTCTTAGTTCCTTTTTGTCAACTGATGATGTATCCTCATCTTCACCAAAACTGTACAAGAGTGGATCCTCCTGCATAAAAGGTCTCAGATATTTGTCGTCCTCCCATGGAAACACACTTTCTATGAAACTGACTGTTTTGTGTAAATGGTTCAGTAGATCTGGCTTGGACTGACAGTCAAGCCCGCAACTCCAACACCTGTTTTCTGCAACCTGGTAACAAAAAGAAAATGCACATAGTGAGCAAATCTCAAGTTGTGAACCTCTCTTGTGCTGTAAATTCCCCAATCATTCAAGATCAACTCCTAAGAATACATTACATCTGCAATAAAAACTTAATAATGCTGCTTTCAAAGACAAACGCATTCAGTCAAGTCTTTCGATGTGCCTTCTTCTCATCATAGGATCAATAAGCAATAGGACAACAGAAAAGATGCCCACGAAGAAATGGAAACGATTTCTTCACAAGTATTACAAGTTATCTCTATATACAAAACAATCAAATTTCAGAGAGAACCTTGGGAAGCCTTTCCTCCCAAAATGTGTAATTAATGGATTTTTGAAATATTTAATCAACTTTGTCTGATCAAATTCTAGCATGTGTCCATATAACTTTTTTTCCCTCTCACATTCATTTACATAAAAACAACACCTAATTGTGACTAGCAGCCACCAACACCCACAATCCGCTCAACTGTCAAAAACATATATCCAAATTAAGAGAGGATCAAGGATTAGCTGAAGATATTAATGGATCAGTGAGTCAAGGATACTCACCAGGACAATAAAGTGGAGTTGGTTGATTAGTATCGGAGAGATAAATCCAGTGTAGTTTAACAGATTTCCTCCTTAAAAAGGGATGAAATAAAACCTCAAGGGTAACAAATTAGTAACAAATACCATATTGGCCTATAACAAAAGGAGAATAAGTATTCTGGCACTAGTAATGCATCTATAAGAGCCTTTTGGATATAATTTCAAAGATGCAAGACACTTTGGAAATAGGCTCAATTTTAAGGTTGGGGCCATTTCAGGCACAGCATAGTCATGTTTTTAGTCTTAGTAAGGTCTTCTTTAGGGTTTCTCTAGGTCAGTACGCTGTTGCAGTTTTGCTGCAACTTAATATGATGAATTCTTGTGTTTTAGAAGTTACATTTCCTTAAAAAGCATTCAATTTATGGGTCAATNGATTGTCGTTATTTAATCCAATCGATTATTTGGTTAGATAATTATTTCATCGTATTAATGTTGAATTAACAAATATACCCTCAATCAATGTTTGTTACATTTATGACAACTTAATTTTATCACTTAGAAAGTTATAATAGTAAATGTGTAGAATAATAAGTTTGAGTTGGATTATAATACCACTTCTTTTGATGGTATTAAAAGACCTCCATAATACAGGTCTATCGTATAAAAAATATATGATAAGTATACATTTTTAAAATTAATACAGTATCAAATTTCCTTACCAAATAAAGTATTAAACCCGATTAAATAAAAAATAGTACAATCTAATATTTAATCCCCTCATAATTCGCCTACCAAACGAGTATTATGATTGTTAATAATTTTTTATTATAAATTTATTAAGAATAAAAATATAATTTGGATAACTCTTAACTACATTACTATTCAAATTTTGATCAAAAAATTACCAAAATTATATAGTTTTGATAATGAACTATCTAAATTTTGATAAAAAAATTACTCATATTACACATTTTTTATCAAGAGCTATCCAAATTTTAGTCAAAATCTATCCAAATTATTTTTCTCCCATATATTAGGTATTACATGATAAATTTATAATTAAAAATCGTTAGTAATTTTAATGTTGTCTACTTGAGGATCATATAAAAATATATTTAATACTTCAGGAATTAAAATTATGTAATTAAAATATTAAAGATCAAAATAATATAATCTCATACTTTGAGAACCTCTAGTACAATTAATCCAATGAAAAATTTGCTTGACATATGTGCCCTATAAATAAAAAGTAAGACTAATAAAGGGGTTTTACATTTGCATCGCGTCAAAATTTATTTATAAACTTACCAAATTCGTATCTTGTATTGTTAAATTTACGTTGTGTAATATAAATATAAACTACTATAATGTTATGCTACCTGGAGTTTTCCATGACAATTTGTCTTTTGTCATGTCACCCTATCGGCACAATATAGAATTAACTTAAGTAAAATGAATTTTATTTTCATGTACAGTTTGTATGTATGCATCCGTCTTACTAGAACTAGTGTTCTTTGTGGAATGTAAAACAAACTGTTCTCTTTTGCTCGCAAAACAACTGTGCACTTTGTGGATGACAAGAAAACAAGTCCTCACCCCAACTTTATATTTTCGGCCGACCACTTTGTATGTTTCGTGGCAAAACACACATGAGACACTTAATTGAGCCATCATCTATTTCATAGTTGTGGAATTGATGAATATGTCAATTTGAGAATAATTAAATGAAATTTTTTTGAATTAATATGTTTGAGTAAGAGATTGATAAATCGAATTCGGATTAAATGAGTTTGTGATTGGCAATGATAATAAAAATTACAAATTGAGTTTGTAAAAGATGGTCCACCAACCTCTAGGATGGAGTTGGAGGTTGCTAAAGTTTAAAATGTGTGTCAGTAGTTGTACCTCAAGTGTGTGTTTTCAACAATGCAATTCAATTGGTTTTCTTTTGATTTTGTGTTGTCCATTGCATTAATGAGTTTTAGTAGCAAAAAGTTGTGATGGTACATGTAGAATCAATTGGTTGTATTAAGTGGGTGTAGTGATTCTTTGTTGTCTATTGCACTAAAATCAGAATTGAAAATTGATTGTACCAATGAACAACCTGCTAATGCAAAGTACTTGTGTGTACTACAATGAATGAACTTTCGTGATTTTGATCTCAAAAATTCATCAATAATGAAACTTCAAGCAAAACTATATCAAATGCAACAACCATATTATTATGTTAAAACTATTTTATCTTTCANTTCTTCTTCCATCTCTAGCAAGTTGTTCACCATGTAAATCGAAATTGTTCGAGGCCAATGGAGGAAGCTGCTTGGTGGCTTGGTGTTGAACCTCTGCGTTGTGTATCAAAAACCCTAAGCTAAAAGTTAAAACCCTCTTTCCAAATGAGGCTAAAAATGCCCACTCCACTCATAGACATTTTAAAACCAAAAAGAAAAATGGTTTAATTGTACCGAAGGTTACTGTCTCATTTTAATTTTTAATATTTTAATTATATTATTATATTAAATATATTTTTATTTAATCTTTAAACACATAGAACTCGTTTGATTATTGTATTAAAAATAGATAGATTAAATAAAATAATATAGTATAATATAATACAGCTATATTAAAAACAAAATTAAATATAATATTAAAGTAATACGTAATTTTATCTAGTGTTTGATAATACACAATATAAGCGTTGAATTGTCGTTATTTAATCCAATCGATTATTTGGTTAGATAATTATTTCATCGTATTAATGTTGAATTAACAAATATACCCTCAATCAATGTTTGTTACATTTATGACAACTTAATTTTATCACTTAGAAAGTTATAATAGTAAATGTGTAGAATAATAAGTTTGAGTTGGATTATAATACCACTTCTTTTGATAGTATTAAAAGACATCCATAATACAGGTCTATCGTATAAAAAATATATGATAAGTATACATTTTTAAAATTAATACAGTATCAAATTTCCTTACCAAATAAAGTATTAAACCCGATTAAATAAAAAATAGTACAATCTAATATTTAATCTCCTCATAATACGCCTACCAAACGAGTATTATGATTGTTAATAATTTTTTATTATAAATTTATTAAGAATAAAAATATAATTTGGATAACTCTTAACTACATTACTATTCAAATTTTGATCAAAAATTTACCCAAATTATATAGTTTTGATACTGAACTATCTAAATTTTGATAAAAAAATTACTCATATTACACATTTTTTATCAAGAGCTATCCAAATTTTAGTCAAAATCTATCCAAATTATTTTTCTCCCATATATTAGGTATTACATGATAAATTTATAATTAAAAATCGTTAGTAATTTTAATATTGTCTACTTGAGGATCACATAAAAACATATTTAATACATCAGGGATTAAAATTATGTAATTAAAATATTAAATATCAAAATAATATAATCTCATACTTTGAGAACTTCTAGTACAATTAATCCAATGAAAAATTTGCTTGGCATATGTGCCCTATAAATAAAAAGTAAGACTAATAAAGGGGTTTTACATTTGCATCGCGTCAAAATTTATTTATAAACTTACCAAATTCGTATCTTGTATTGTTAAATTTACGTTGTGTAATATAAATATAAACTACTATAATGTTATGCTACCTGGAGTTTTCCATGACAATTTGTCTTTTGTCATGTCACCCTATCGGCACAATAGAGAATTGACTTAAGTAAAATGAATTTTATTTTCATGTACAGTTTGTATGTATGCATCCGTCTTACTAGAACTAGTGTTCTTTGTGGAATGTAAAACAAACTGTTCTCTTTTGCTCGCAAAACAACTGTGCACTTTGTGGATGACAAGAAAACAAGTCCTCACCTCAACTTTATACTTTCGGCCGACCACTTTGTATGTTTCGTGGCAAAACACACATGAGACACTTAATTGAGCCATCATCTATTTCATAGTTGTGGAATTGATGAATATGTCAATTTGAGAATAATTAAATGAAATTTTTTTGAATTAATATGTTTGAGTAAGAGATTGATAAATCGAATTCGGATTAAATGAGTTTGTAATTGGCAATGATAATAAAAATTACAAATTGAGTTTGTAAAAGATGGTCCACCAACCTCTAGGATGGAGTTGGAGGTTGCTAAAGTTTAAAATGTGTGTCAGTAGTTGTACCTCAAGTGTGTGTTTTCAACAATACAATTCAATTGGCTTTTTTTGATTTTGTGTTGTCTATTGCATTAATGAGTTTTAGTGGCAAAAAGTTGTGATGGTACATGTAGAATCAATTGGTTGTATTAAGTGGGTGTAGTGATTCTTTGTTGTCTATTGCACTAAAATCATAATTGAAAATTGATTGTACCAATGAACAACCTGCTAATGCAAAGTACTGGTGTGTACTACAATGAATGAACTTTCATGATTTTGATCTCAAAAATTCATCAATAATGAAACTTCAAGCAAAACTATATCAAATGCAACAACCGTATTGTTCTGTTAAAACTATTTTATCTTTCTTAATAGAGCTAATTATTTAACAAAATAAATCCTAAATTTTGAACAACGAGAGTAGTGAAACCAATAGCGAGCCTAATTGATATAAATATGCATTTTTTAATTTTCAAAGACCAAATAGCTATAGAATGACTGTATAAATTTTTCGATAATATATAAGGCTTTAGGTTTGAAGACCAATGTTTGTTCTTATAGGCAACTTCATCATCTAGAGGAGCACCAAATAACTTGAAGATAAAAAACGAGTATATAAATTAGTTCGTAGTTCTAACTTTTTTCCTTTTAACTCCAAAAATTCATGTCATTTATTGGACAAAACCTAATGTTTATCTTCGTTACTCCTACCCTACAAGTCACCGACACATGAGCATTGGAAGAAAAAAAAAATCATAACTGACTAAGGACAATAAACACTCGTTAGCAGTTGCATTCTTTGAGTTTGGTAATGTGGAACTATAGTTTGAATAATGTTACACTGACCAAATTTTAGAATCAAATTTGAAGTTCGAACGACATGACAGTGTATTATTTGAAGTTTTTATTGAGTCTCAAATGACATGACACCAAATAAAGAAATGCAAGTAAGCAGCCATGTCATTTGGGCTTTAAATTTAATTTTAAAATTTGATCAGTATAG